CCTACAACAATTAGATGTAAAAACAACTTTTCTAAATAGTATTCTAGATAAAGAAGTCTATATTCATATATCACTAGGATTTCAAACATCATCACAAAAAGAAAAGGTAAGCAAATTTATTTGAGCTCTATATGAACTTAAACAAATATCTAGAATATGATATTCACACATAGATGCTTATCTCATAAACAAAGGATTTGCTAAAAGTTTAGCTAATTATAATATATATTACTCAATTAATGACAACTAATACACTCATATTACTATCTATAAATGACCTTATAGTTATTGGGGACAACTCAATGGCAATTCAACATCTCATATCACAACTATTAGATACTTTCAAGATGATAAAATTGAAAAAAGCTACAATCTACTTGGGAGCACAAAAACAAGGAAATGCTTATGAGATTTTGTTACATGAAGAAACTTATGTGAACAAGCTTCTATGTAAATTTGATATGGCTCATTGCAATCTAGCTAGAACCCCCAAGAGCTCAAATATTCAATTTCAAGCCAATATGAATCAAAAATTAGTTAATAGACATATGTTGTTGTATGATAACACAAATATATGGTAATAAATAAAAATATGGATGTTATTATAGAAGAGCCTAGTAGAAAGATATAATGAAAAAATAAGGATAAATGATAAGAAGATGGTAAAAACTTTAGTTTTAATATTGCATTTTTATAGAAGAGACTTCTATTTACTTTGTAAGGACATAAATGAACCAAATCAAAGTAAATGAGATAAATGTTTGATATAGACATTTTTAAGAGAGGATTAAGAATACATTTTAGTAAAGATTATCTCAAAATATGAAGAATTGGTATTTAAAGAGGACCAATTATGAATCAAGATTGAAATCAAATTCCAAGGAAAAAAAAAAAAAAAGAAAAAAAAAAAAACATATCTGTTGCAATTTCAAGGTTCTTTGGTTGATTGAAGAGAGGGATTTGAAAGAAAACTTGTAAAAGGATTTTTGAGACTTGATTTTATGTGATTTGAAGATATATTGAGATTTTGAGAGCTTTTCAAAGTGATGTATATTCAATAAGTTTGGATTTTAAGAAATAAAAAGAGATTCACAAATTTGATGATTTTTTGAGTATTGTAGTATATTTACAAGTAAAATTTTTTCAATATATCACTATGCTTGTTATAAAATTATTTTTATAAATTTAATGTCAATCAAGTAGTTAAATTAAAGATTATTAGAATTTTTATAGGTTATAGTTTAAAATAATTGAAATTTAGGGTAAGTGAGGATTTTTGCAATCTTGCAACATTTTCTTATTTGATTGAAGCAAAAAATTAGTAAAATCAATTTAGACTTAGTTACCTATCTACTAGTCAATTTTTAAATCATTTGAATAATTCAATAAAGAAAAATTGTTGTTGGAAGATCAAAATTCAAGTTGGAAAAGAAAGGCGGCCAACATCCAAGAGGATTTGAGAGCTTTTCTTTTCATTGGTGAGTTTGATTCTTTTCAAATTTTGTGTATTTATTAATTGCTTGTAAATTGAGATGTGAATAAAAGTTTAGTTAAGATCAATGATTTGATTAATATTTATTGAGGTTTTAAAATAATTATGGTTATTGATTAAGATTTACTTAAGATTTTCTTAGGATTTGATTAGGATTTGGTTAGGATTTATTTAGGATTTACTTATGGTTTTTATTTTAAATATTTCTTTAAGATTTTCTATCATTTCTTTAAAATTTTCTATTTTTAATATTTTAAAAGGATTTTGTGTCATTTCTTTTAAAGTTTTTATTTTTAGTATTTTAAAAGATTTTTATTATTTCTTTAAGGTTTTTATTTTTGTATTTCTCTAGGATTTTTTATTAATTTTTTTTAAAATTAATTTATAAATTTTTATGTTTCTTTTGTAACTTCTTTTAAATTTCTTTTGGATTGGTTAAAGCTTATTTAAGATTATTAAAGATTACTTAGAATTTATTTAAGACTCTATTAAACTTGGTAGAATTTTTGTTGTTGCATTTCTACTTATCTTCTATAGCTAGGTACTTGGTGCGTTCTCAAATAAGAATGCATGTAATATGACAATATATAAATCACTTATATGAGGTTTGTTATATGTAGCAATAATTTCATAACTTAATATAAGTTTTGCATTAAATATACTAAGCAGAAATAAGCAGCAACCATAAGAAGAGAACTTAAAAATTACAAAAAATATTCTCGAATATCTAAGAAAGACAAACATCAATGAAATATTTTTTTTTTCATACAAAAATCAACGCATATTAGTTAACTATGCAAATATTGACTATGGAAGGAATCTAGGCACACGAAGACCAATTTCAAGACTCATTTATAAAATCAAAAGTGCACTTGTAGAGTGGTCTAATAAACAACAACCGTCTATAGCTTTAAGCACAACAAAAGTCAAATGTCGAGTTTTCTTAAAAGCCACGAAAGATGCTATATACTTGCAAAGATTACTATAAGAATTACACTTCTATAGTATTGATCCTTCGTTAATACTCAATGACAATCAAATCTATATTAAATTTATAAATAATCTAATTTTATATTTTAGAACTAAGCATATAGAAGTTCAGTTTCATTTCATCTAAGAAAAGAGTATGGTAGAGGATATAATTATCAATTACGTACCTACATCCAAATAACAATCTAATATCATGACTAAATCCTTAGAAAATTTTATCTATTGCTGTCTCCACAAAGCAATAGGAATTCTACCAAATTAGTTGTAGAATAACCTTCTATATGTAAGTTATTTCTCAAATAGAGTTTGGCTAATTTCCAATTTGTAAATTGCTTGAACTTTGCACCCTCAAAACCTTCTATCTACAATCTACTTTTGTCCCAAAATTGATAAATTCCAAGACAAACACTTATCCAAACTGCATAAAATCTTCTTAACCCTACTCTATTAGAAGAACTTCTTGTTCAATGTTGTATAAAAACAAAGGAAGCAGCTCTTGTAACCTTAAGTTTCAATACAAACAAAGGCAAACATTCTGTCAACTCTACAATGACAAAAAAATTAAATTAAATTAAATACATCTGATGGAGTGCCAATGCAAACAATTGAAACCTTAGGTAAAACAATTCCCACCAAGAACAACATCAACTTAAAAATTACTCACAATAATTCAACAAGTTCAAGAAGAAATAATTAAAGCAGAACCTTCTAATATTCATATTGTCAAGGTCCTGCTGAAGATGATCCATCACTAGCAAGTTACAAAGGCCTTGCAGAGCAAGAGGGAGTGTTGAAATAGACACTACACAAACACCCTCAATCACAACAATAGTGACATCACAACAAATACATCATTGTTAAGATTGCCACAAACTCAATGGATAAACAGACCAGAAAATCGGAGGCATTGGCAGTGACCCTTGACGCTTCGAAGTAGTGCAAATTTACTCAATAAAGCATGAAAGTTTATCTTTTTAACAGAAACAACCCTGTTAAGCATCAACTCTTTATCGAAAGAGCTCAGGATAAGGGCTTTGTTTGCTAATTCTTCTTCCTTTGCACTCACATCTGTTTGCAACTACATAACCTTGACTTTCAATGGTTGCATGTCCAACACGAGTTTGCAAGTTCTCCAATTCCTCCTCCATATGATTTATCGCTGCGCCTTTGAGTGCAAGCTGCTCCTTAATAAGAGTTTCCGCTGAGCTCAATTCCTTCAGCTCTTCGCACTTTCTCTGAACTTCTCCCTCAAGCTCACGAGTTCTGGAATTTGTTTCGATAATCTCCTGTTTGAAGTCAGTTTCCTCAGCAGCATGCTCTTGCGGGAGTCTGATGTCAAACTCAAGCCCATGCAAAAGCTATCCTTTGAGCTGAAGGTCTGATTGTAGGTGTTCCACACTCTCATCCAGTTGACTAATTGTTTACGCATCAAGTGCAATATGACACTCGCTTTTTGAAACCTCTTTTTCCAGGTCTAAAAGCTCCGCCTGAAGCTGATCTTCCACAAAATTGGATTCATACAGTAACTCTTGACTCTGTTGATGAGAGGTTGAGAGCAAGATCAGCTGATGTTACTTGAGTTCCAACTCCCACGACAACCTTTCCGACATGCTTTGAAAGTGTCCAGATTAGGTATTTAGAGTTGAGCAGGTTGATTGCATCATGTCGGAAAGAAGTTCCACCTCAAAGGACTTGAGCTCCAATAGATCTTGAAGCTTCTGAAGTTCTGCAGTGCGATGGCGACCTCATCTTGCAAACCTGCGTTGTACCCTCGACCTTATTCTTACGCTATAATCTCACGTTTAGGTTAAAATTTCATAATGGAAACAAAATTGGTGACTTGGTTAATAGTTGTAGACATGGACTGGTGGCCAACTCTTTTGCGGCCACACACACGACGTCATTGGAGCAATAATCCACGACCAACTAGCTCATGGATATTTTGATCTTCACCGAACTGGAAAGGAGCCGAGGTTGTTAATCGAAGGAGTGGGACCTGTCTACCAAGATTTGCGATCCCCAGCGGCTCCAGAGGATACTGTACTTTGCACAGACCCTTCTGTTTTGAAGACAACCTCGCTGAATAAGTCATTAACACACTCTACTTGCGAAGAGGGGAAACGTCTACATACACAGTAAAAAATTCTTGATTGGTTCTCAAAATAAGCTATAACAAAAACTAATCATAATATATTCCGCATGCAATAAACTTGTTGTCAAAGGTTAACAAGCCCATTCAATTTCAATATTTGAATCTGATGAATTCATGATTTTGTCCTCGTATTTCTCCATGATTCATGTTTGCAGTGATAAAAAAATGAATAGCCTCACAATGGTGCTTGAACATAACACTTATTTGGAGATTGTCATTCATTTTGCAGAGTTGAAATTGTACATCTAAGACTGATGTTTACAGGACCTCTTACTTATAAACTACGCATCAACAATTGTTTTTGCTAACCTAACCAATTTATTTCATAGAAAATTCAACTACTTTTCAAAAATTCACTCTTAGCAATTTGAAGTTTGTAATTTGCAGAAACAGAAGTTAATCAACAAGAAGAAACATTTAAAAGTACATGTTCCTGACATTTGTTGCTCATATTATCAGCTAACCTATCATCAATTAGACATGGAGTAAGAATCATCATGTTTCATTCTTCAGTGTGCCACAAATGAGTACAAGGGACACAGCTGCACACTTAGTTTTTTATTTTAATATTTTCAATGTGTCAAAAATCACAGTTAGAATATAAGGTTTCATAAAAATATAACATGCACCAAGTAAACTCCATTCCTCTGTGTTTGAAGCAAGCTGAATGAAACAAACAGATCTTTAACAATGACAAATGGTATTCCAATAGATTCATTATTGTTGGTTACGAACTGTACCACTAAAATTACATACACACATTCATGTATTCTAACAGCTGATTGGAAAATTTCCACAGAAATATTTGTATGAAAGATTTGCATCTGTATTTCAGTCCGATGCAGAATAGTGATACTCCATACGGTTTCTTTGTTTCTTTATTGCTTCATTGTCAAAACTCTATTGGAATTATTTTATGGGTAATGGTAGCAATTATAATTGGCTCCAAATATATGCACTCAAATTTCTCCCTTTAGTATTTCTAAACTGCCTCTGTCATATTTCTTGTTCATTTCATTCTATGTTTTATGTAGTTTAGTGACAACTACAGTGCGGATGCACTGGTCAAAAGATCCACAAACAGCTAATCCAGCCTTGTCAGGACTCCAATCAAAGCAGCAAATGGGTTGTGGAGCCAACTTTGCATTGTTCAGTAGTTCTACTTTGCCCACAACACCATATTCACAGTTGTCACCGTCTTTTTTGGTCCGTTGGTCGGGATAGTGATATTTGTACAGAGAAATAGAACCATCACCGCCAAGTGTAACAAAAAGCTCACGGTTCTGGGGGAGGTGCTTGACCCCCCACACGGTTGTGCCATGCTTCAGCTTTTCTTCAAGGCTTGAATAGCCTTTTGCTTCATGATGTGTGCGTAGATCATAGAGATGAAGTTTTGATTCCAATGTGGTGCATACAAACTTATTCATTTTGATGTCCTTTCGGTCAAAATCTATTCCACAGACACCATTGTTGAGGGTTGTCTCCCATCGAACCTTGCCCATGCGGAGATCAAACATTTTGACGTCTCCATTGTCGTAGCCTGCCAACACACACCGCTCCTCATCGTTGTAGGAGTTTCCAAATGCCACACACCAACAATCTCTAGGTGTTCCTTCTGCACCAACTTTCTCAGTAGTTTTCTTCATGGGTTCAAAACTCACAACAGGATCACATTTGCTCCGTTGGTCCCAAATGCGGACGCGACCATCTCGTCCTCCGGTCACAATTTCTGGAGCACCATTTCCAATATTCAATCCGCCACATCCATCCATACAATTGATGATAGTGTCATGGGCTTGTACGTGCCATACGGGCATGCTCATCCGTTCCAAGTCCCACACAAACAATGTTCCTTTGAAATCCCCCGTGCAAAGATGCCTTTCTGTTAAATCAGATGCTCCAAACGTCCCACACTTGAAAATGTGATGCTTTTCACATTGCTTTATTTTCTTGAGTTTTGGTCCTTCAAGTTCATAAATTTGCATGACTCCAGAACCTCGTGCACTTCCTCCCAACACCACAAACCGTGCACTACATGGCACCCATAATGTTTCATATACAGTGATATTTAATGATTCAAGCACATGTTGCAAAATTTGAGGCCTATTCTTTGCATCCATTGATGAGCTTATTGCATTTCATATGCAGAGTGTATTATTCACAACTCTGTTGTCTTGTTTAAACATTTGCCATTGATGTTGGATACAACAGCCAAAGAAAGAGATTTATAGCAGTAAGATTTGCTGTATTGAGTTGCTGTTTGGTTGTAATGAATGCAATTATATTACCAGACTTTGAAACAAGAACAATACTCTATGTTTTTTTATTACATGTACTGGTTTTGACATTATCCAGTTTTCTTCTTTCTTCTTTTATTTATTGGTTTCAATACTGCAACCAAATAAGTAATAGATAGATGATGCAAGATAAAAGAAAATGTGTAACAAGCATATTTTACTAAGTATGAATATAACAGTCAAGTTTTCAAGACTTCATGTGTAAATTACAACACAACATACATCAACATCTCTGCTATTTTATCATTATAATCAATGATACTTGAAACCTGTATAGTTTTAATTTGTAATAATTACCGAAATCTCATTCCACACAATTAAGTTTTGAACATTCTCTACCCTATATATGCCATCTGAAAGTCAGTTGTAAACTCATCCATCAAGTATAATAACAGCTTTATATGTATATATATGTTCATATTTTTTAAAATTACATAAAACTCAAAATATAATTTTTTTCATTGTGAGTTGAAACATTTGGAATCCTTGCAAACATAAAATAAAATAAAATAAAATGATTTCAAAGCTTTTAAGACAGTTAGCACGTGTGCTAAATCAATTTTTTTCTGTTTTTTCTAAAACCATTTTATATTATCTTTTATCATGTATGAGTGTATAATTTTAGATGTTTCAGTGATGTGTATATGTATGTGCATATATATATATATATATATATATATATTATTAAATATTTAAACATTCAAGATGGGCATGAAATTTAGAGTAAAGTTTTTATTTGATGAGATTTGTAGATGTTACATTTCAAAATATGTCTATTTATTATTTACATAATGCAAACATTGTGCTCTGAATCTTTTCTTTCACAACTCATCAAATCACTTCACACACCAATACAAAATGATATTTTGGCCTTATGAATATTTATTTGACTCAATGTTCATAAGGATAAGAATGAAATATTTCATATCACAATGATAAAAGTTTTATCATAACCTGTAATAGTTATATTCTATGAATTTCTGCAAAATAATGTTGAAATTTCACACACTCTTCTCTCTTTTTGTCAAATTTTGAATCTTTGGCACATCTACTGTTGCTCAGTAAGTATATCTTTGATGTTTTGTGAAATCCATTGATGGGCGTAATCAACACTAAATATGCATTCCTTAAGTCTTATGTTCACTCTACTCAGTTGTGAGAATGTTTGTTCTTTTCAGTGGGTTTAATATGCCATAGAATCAAATTTCCAAGAAGGAACTTTAATATTTAACATGTATACCTTGATTTTCGTAAATTATTTGAATTGTGGATAAAACAACGTGAATTCTGTTTTCTAAGCAAAAAGTAGGTGGATTTATGGAATGTTTATCAATCATGCACATCTGGAAAATATGAAATTATTTTTTGGTTTTTAAAAGGGTTTTTTGAGTTTTCCAGATACCATATTTTTGTTTGTACTTATGCTAAGTAAAGTGATGCAATATAACTGATTGACTTTCAGTTTGTAATCATAAGTTGTTCTTCAATGTTACCAATTATAACTATACATGTACAGACGTTGAACTATGATCCATAAAGTCAAGTCAAGTCATAAGTTTAACAATTCAACCTCAATACCAAGTTTATAACATGTTGGAAGGAAATAGGTTAAAATCATTTTGATTTTGTTTAGAACTAACTTTTGGATTCCAACAACACAAATGTTTCTGAAAATATTATAATGTTTGATTTCTGGTAGTTCATTTAGTTTTTAAAATATGTATGTATATATATATATATATATATATATAGTATTTTAACAAAGAATATTATTTTATATTGAGAAATGAAGTGTTGCACACTTTAAGAGATTTATTGTTTATCATTATTAAAGATATAATATTTTAATATTGAATCATAGTATACCATACATGTACACGATTATAGATTGAGACTTCATGAAAAAACTTAGAAGTGTGATAAAAATATTAAAAAGACAAAAACTGATAAAACAGATTGCTATAAATGAGAAAATAATAAAATTCTATAGGAATAAGTCCATTAACCTTGCAAAGTATGTTTTATAAAACTTCATTTCTCAATTGTCTTCTGCATTTCCTTTGTTTCCACAGTGTGGTTGCATTTGCAAATTTTATTTTCTTGCCTTCTCCACTATTGGAATGGTTGAGATCCTAAATGTATTGTAGCAAAGAATAAAGTGGTACAATGTCCACAAAATTTGAGTGTAGGACCTACAAATAAGACTCAAGTTTTTCTATTTTTGGAAATGAAATTGTTATAATTTACAAATATAATTTTTTATTATGATCTAAAAAAACATCAAAGAATAATTTGAGTATGTCCAAAATCTTCATAATAGATCCTTAGAAGATATATAATGCATAAATTATTATTTTTAGTATTTTTAAAAACAATAAAGTTATTTTTGTTTTTTGTTTTAATGAGAATCTGTAGAATAATACTCTGAAACAAAACAGATTCACTAACTTCAAATATAAAATTAATAAAAGTTCTACCAAGACTTGCAACATATATGTTTACATGTGTTTCAATATAAATATAAATATAAATATGTATATATGTATATATAAAAATAATTATTTTGCAAAATCGTCATAAACCACCTCAACCTTCAAAACTTGTTTGGATTATTTTTACAATTAGAATTTATATGTATATAGATACTATAATAAATTAAAATTTTATAAATAAGAATAAATCAAATATTAATTAAGAGCAAAAAATAAATACGCCAAAAAATTAAATAGATTCAAGTACAAGTCTAAAACAAAAAATACACAAAAAATAAAAGTAATATTTAAATAAAACGGTTAAATAATCCAGATGTAGTTTAGCCACTACATATAATTGAGTTGTCTTAATTAATTTACTATATTCTATGTATGCATTCATTTAAATTATTACTTTTAGATTAATTCATTAAAAGATAATCTATTTTTAAAGAAGAAAAAACAAAGACATTCAAAAGATAGAAAAGAAAATTTTGGAAATTAATTTATTCTTTTTATTTATAATATTTGGTCTCTTTTTTATTGTTATTTTATCTTTTAAGAAAATCATAAACAAAAAATTTATACAAAAATATTAATCAATTTTGCCATGAAGTGCTTAAATTATTCTTATTTTGTATCTCTTCTATCTTTTTAGGTTAAATTTTGTCATTCACATAAAATAAGATTTATGTTTGAAACAATTGTTTCTACATTTGATACTATTTTTTTCATAAAATAAAACTATTTATTTAATAAAATATAAATTATAGATATTATAAGCTACAAATAAAGTAAAAAAAAATGTTACATATATAAAGTTGCATGTAAATATCTAAATAGCCACATTTTATCACTGTATTTAATCTAATATAAAAACAAAATGAGTTATTTTGATAGTGTTCAATGATTTTTTCATATATAAGAATTGAAATAGTAGTGATATATTGTATTAAAAGCCAAATAAATATAAAAAAATCAATCATTAGAATTAGATAAAATAACATAAAATAAAATAAAATACTATTTGATAAATTTATAATTTAGTACCAAAAAAATTAAAAGAATAAAAGATATTAGATCATAGATCTAAATTTACTTAGTTCATCCTAACAAAATTACTATATATATATATATATATATATAGTGAATTCTACTAATATCTCTTAATTAATGGAACTATTAAAAATATAGGTTTTGATTATTTAAATATAAAAATATAAGTATTAGAGAGTTTTTTTGATGATTTAAGTATTCATTAGAATTTTAAAATGTTTATAAGGTACAAGAGTCTTATTAAAGAAAAAGTTATAAAAATAGAATCTTAGTAACTCTTGGAAGTAATTATATTAATTGATTTAATATTTTTACTTATTATTGAGTATTAAGGATTAGTATTAAAACTAATATGTATATTGGCCTTTTACAAATATATATATATATATATATATATATATATATATATCATTTATTAAAAATCTATAAATATTAGTCAATAGTGACAAGAAGCATGAGAATGAACCTCATGTCTTTTTAGTTATATTAGAAATAGGACTTTTAGTAGATTTAAATTGATTTTATTACTATAAAAATTTAATAAGATTATAAAATTGGCTTTAATTTGATCTTCGAATTATAAAAGTATTATAAAAAAAAATTATAATATTTTTAGAATTATTTTAGAATTTTAAAAAAAAATCTTTCAAGACTTAGGTGAAATTAAATGTTTTACCACCTTAGGAGCTATTATGAAGAAATGGAGAAAGATTTATAGGCCATACACAGTTCCTAGGATAATTGGATGTTTTTGAACACCATGATAAAGTCAAAAATACAAAAATAATAATTTTACTAGTAGAAAATAAGAGGAATAGTAACTAGTCTAGTTCTTATAGAAAGGAAGGTGTACAAGTTCCATATGGATTGTAGCACCTTAAATATAGTTAGGAAGATAAGACTAAGGCCTCATGGTCTCTCTTAGTAACCCTCTGACACTAAATGTGAGCCTTGTTGAGGCTCGAATTCTTGATATATAAGCAAGTTATCCTTAAAGTAAAATATTTTTACTTAATTTTTTTAATTATTTATTTAATATCTTTAAATCTTTATATATTTTTTATGCCATTGGAAAGATCATAAAAATAAGTATTTAATAAAAAAAAATACATTGTACTTTTACATTTTATTCGATGAAAATTAAGAGAATAAATTGCAACTAAGTTTTATAGTGTGTGTTTGCTTGAATACATTTCTTTCACTTATTTTGTATTTTTTCTTGTTAATTGCTTATTTTACTTTATACCACCAATTACAAGTAATTCTTAATTGAAGCCATCTTGTAATTTGGATTGAAAGCTAAATTTTATCCTCATATTTGTATATACATAATTCTTTAAATTGATACTTATTTCTAAAATTAAAATCTATATAAATATGAACAAAACTTATTTATGAAATATAAATTTTAAATTTATATTTTTAAAAAATTTATATAAATAAATTATACATGTAGTATTCATATATATATATATATATATATATATATATATTATAACAGAGTATAGATAAGTTATTTGTATTGTTGATACATGGAAATACATAGTTGGAATCATATTTGAGAAGTTATGGAAGTTTCTAGGATTGAGGCTAAGTTAATGGACTACATAAAACCTACCATGGAATATTTTAAAAAGAACTTAGAGCAATTATTTAGGTAGGGTCCTCTACAGAACCTTTTAAAAAAGACTTAAGGCAGTTATTTAGATAGGACCTACCATGGGATCTTCTAAAAAGAGTTTAGGGTGGTGACCTAAGAAAGATCTATCATCTAAGAACATTCTAGATAATCTAGGGTAATAGAAATAAAGTATAAATAGGATTGGCCAAGGCCTTTTGGATATTTGGTCAGGTACAGCTTCAAACCTTCTTTCTTAGTAAAGTTTGGTTTTGCATCTTCCTATTCAATTCTATTTTTTTCTATTTTTGTTTGCACAGTTTTATCTTTTATGTTACAATAGATTAAAAGAGTCTTAGACTCTCGAGATAGATTGGTCCTATTTTATCTATATATATATATATATATATATATAATATTTTTTTTAATGATTAATATCTTAAAATTCAATAACCTTCATTAATTAATCAAAAAATTGAAATTCAACTCTATTCTATGATATATTATGTTTTATAATTGTTTTATTTTTTGATTCTTATTAATTAAAAAGAATTATTAACGTGAGTCAGGTAGCCAATATAGATACAAGGTTGTATGTAATTGAATAAATCAAGGCCATATGGCCATGAAGGTGGAGGCAAGTAATCTACATTGTAGGACCATGGCAATGATGATATCTATCATGCCTTCAATGTACCACTTCTAATGATTAATAATCTCTAGTAGTTAATATTTTCATGCAAAAAATGATCTTAATTAATAAAAATGGACATGATATATATATATATATATATACACAAATATATATACATACTAACTAAGATATAAATAAAAAGACATTGACTTCTATAATCACATCACTAAAAATTTAAAACAAACATATAAAAGTAAAAAATCAAAAATATAAATAAATATAAATAAAATAATGATATTTTTAAATAATTTATAAGAATTTTTAAATTTATGCATATTACAGAAATAAAAAAGATGAAAGATATAAGAAGTTTTAGAATTTTTACAAACCATACAAGTGAAAAAAGGAAGAAAAAAAATTATAAACAAAATATTTAGAGCCATAAATATACAAATTATTTTTATTTCACTAAAAATATAAATTAATAGCTTAAATTTTAATCAAATCCTTCTTATCATAAAGTAGGTATTTAATGACATATTACAATATACAAAAATTCTAACAAGGTAAAAATCACACCTAAAAAGAATAAGATTGCATAAGACTTTTATTCTTGTTCATACATTTGCTTCTATTAAAGTTTTTTTACTTGTTTATCTTTTGTCTTTTATTGAGAAATGAACTAAAATTTATTTTATCTTTATAAAATATCAAACATAAAATTAAAAATGCTACTAATAAATATATAAATATATATATATATATAAAAACAAAACAAAAATAAAAAATCTTTACTATAAATGAATATAATAAGTTTTCCAACTTTAAAAAAACATCTTGTATTGAAGACCACAAAATTTATTCTATAGATTCATCTAATTGATAAAGGCATCATGTGACAAATCTCATATTATCTTTCTAGAAAATTTTTATTCATAAAAACAAAAGATAAAACATAAAACTAATCAAGAATTGTATTTTTGCAAAAACAATTGAAACATTTTTATTAGGTATATTATTATAATAAGCCAAAAAAACTATATTACTTTTGTATATACACACACATATATTTGATACCAAATATAATATATTTTAACAAACAATATTTTTACCTTATTACCAAAGTTGCAAAGCTCTAGGTTTTAGCTTTTAGCTAAAACATATGACAAAAAAAAATATTAAAAAAACAAAAAAATTAAACATTATAGTATAAGTCTCATTAATATATGCTATGGTGAGCCATATACATAAATATTACAATTAAAATAAGTTAAAAAGTTAAAGTATAAAAAAAATCCAAATTTATGTGTCACTTCTTAATGAAAACAGTCATAAGACTAATGCATCCTAAACCACAAACTTTGATTAAAAATATACAATATCAATACAAAGAAACTTTGTTGTCCAAAGTAGGCCTATCGTGCAAATGCTCTAAGATCTACTAAACAATATGTTTCTTTTTTTAAAGATCATATTACAAGCTTACATAAACTAAGGCACATACAAAGTTATATGGTTGATAAGCTAAATCTAATCCTTGATTGCAAACATGGCTGAGATTTTTATGACT